CCCATCCCCCCCTTTCCCACAGAGAGGCTCCGTAACATTTCCCCTGGTTGGGATTTTTTAACTGGAACCAAATGTGAGCTGTGCTGAGGTCACCGTAGGGCAGGTGTGCAGCTAGGTGGACATAGGATTGCTTCAGGGCTTGAAATCCACCACCCCCTCCCATACATACACACACACACACCCTTCCTCAATCTCAATCAGCCATAGCCAGGCATGCCGAAGAGGAAAGTAACAGTTTGAGAGCATTAGAGCAGCTGAGGGATCAAAGGAGGCAATTTCTCTGGGAAATTCTTGGCTTTTACTGATGTTCGTACTCTAATGTTGTGTATTTAGGTGTATGTTCCTCTCTGTGGATGGCAGGCAAAATGTGTCCATATTTTCTTAGCTGTCACAGTTGGATTTTGATAGCAGAGCATGTTTCGGGGAGCATCAGCGTTAATCGTCAGGTTGTTGGTGTCATTCCCTCAGAATCAAAGGAGCATGGCTGTCTTTGTAGAACCGCAATTTTGCCTCGACGTTCAAAGATCATACAGGGTGAAGAAAAAGCAGGGACCAATTTCTGTACCCACAGTTGTGGGAACTAGACCAGAAGCCGGTTGCACCAGCTGTTCTTGACTTTAAACTAAGCCTTGTTAAAATGTAAGGATATACTAAATGGAGATTTTTGAAACACTAAATTAAAAGAACCTGCAACCAGAGAAAATAGTTTTTACATTGAGAGTAACCAACTAGCCAAACGTATGTTAGCGTTTAGATTGAAGACTAAAAGGGGTGAGGAAATATAGTCAACATATCCGGTCTGACACTTGATCAAAAGGCTAATAATGACGTAAACTAGGTTTTTAAATTAGAATTCCCAAACAATTAAATTAGACTTAGATTAATATTATTAAAACTCCCAGATGAACCCATACAATATGTTACAGACTCATGATGTATTTAATGGTGGATTTAAGATCTGTGGCAACATTTGCTTTGAGGCTAACTCACATACATATTTGAATTGCCTGCAGAGTATATTTATCCCCTCAAATGAAGTTTAAAATGCAGCACACATGGTATATTGCAGCGCTTCCTTGTAAAACTTCTTTTTCTATACAACACAGAATACAGCCATAACAGACTTTTAAAAGTGCCGCAAAGGCCAGGAAGGAACTTCCTGTAAGGCATGGAGCCGCTTTGAATATAATTTTAAAGTCTCAAACATTTTCCCCCTCACACGAAATGTAAAGCCGCATAAAGTTTTATTAACATCGCAACTGCAGTTGTTTTCTGGGTGTGGAATTTTTTTTTACAATGCGGTCTGTTTTTGTTTCTTCGGGAAGGGATCTCCAAAAGAATGAAATCTCCTGGACCATTGAGGACATGAATGGGCCTTTCTCTGCGCTGGACAAGCTGAAAAAACTGTGAGTTCATTATCAGCGTAACATGTTTCACTGTGTGACTTTATGGAACACAAACAAAATAAGGCCAGCGAGTAAAAGTGAGGTCTGAAATTGATCAGTTTGTTTGTCGTTTTTTCCCAGATTTCTGCAGGGGAACCAGATCCGCTCAGTGACCAAGAAGTCTTTCTCTGGCCTGGACGCGCTGCAGCACCTGTGAGTTGGCCTCGTGTTTCACTGATTGTTTCCAAAAGTCCAAGCTGTAAACTAAGCAGGGTGAATCACACTGAGACACAGAGGCTGTTTGTTAGAGCTGTACACCCAAACTATCTTCTCCCATTCCTCCGCTTTGATGTGAAACCAAGAAAAAACATGGCCATTAGTATCTTTACATGTGCGCCAGACTATATCGATCACCGAGGCAAGTGGAGGAAAGTCTGTGTGTGTAAATGTGTGTGTATGTGTGTACAACAGCTGCATTTGATTCTAATTAGAGTTTTTTCCCAGCCGTTGCCAGAGCTCAAAGCCGCCCAGAGTTGGGCCTCTCTTGATTAACACAGCAAACTGCTGCCCAGAGTTTTATTGTTCTGGAGCCCAGACCTTTTTCTCCTCTCGATTGAAGTTTTTGCAGCCTTCACTCTATACGGCTGATGTTGGCAGAAAAAGCTGCCATCTTTCTACAAGGATCTTACCAGTCCTAATTTCTTTTCTTTTCTCTCCACAGAGATTTGAGTAATAATGCCATCATGTCCGTCCAAGCGAACGCCTTCTCTCAGATGAAGAACCTGCAGGAGCTGTAAGTATGCTCACATTTAAGGACAGCTTTAGTTAGTGTTTCAGTGTTGATGTGAGACAGAACACCAGGTGAAACTCATTACGGTCTGCTGAGAAAGTCAGCACCAAACAGTGCTTACTTCACTGTTAATGATGGGTTCAAAGTTTCCTTTGTCTCCTTCCACTAAAGGATAGCTTTCACTAAAAAGCTATGCAAGGGATTTTTATTTTTTAATGTGACTTAATGGGTTGCATGTTTGACAAATTTCCCATAGTTTTAAAAGGTAGTAATAGTCTTCTTGGAACAATAATGTGTTTCTGATGTGTTTTTTCTGCAAATAAAAAAATGCATATTAAAATCCTTAAAAAGGAACCTGTTCCTTCCACCTCATAATAATCTACAAATATGCAAATATTATATATTTCTAAAGTCTCCCTGCTGGACACAAGATGTCTCTTACTTCACTGTAAAGTCCATTCTCAGTGTATGTGCACTGGAAGCTTCAAGTCCTACATCCTCCTCTGCACATACTTCATTCTGCACAGTGAAGCTTAAACATTTTTTAAGTATTCCCAGTAAGCAAAGCAACATTAAAATGTTTTATTACAGTATCATGGGTCATGGTATTGTATGTACAGCATTTGTGCATTGCCTCAATCATTGTTCACAGACTACGCAAGACCAAAAGCACAGAAAAACGACCAGATCCAGTGATATTATTGCATTGGGAATGAAAATGTTGTGGTTATCTTCTCCTCTGGCAGGCGTCTGAACACCTCCAGCCTGCTGTGCGACTGCCAGCTGAAGTGGCTTCCCGTCTGGGTGGCAGAACAAACCTTTCTGCCCTGCGTCAATGCCAGCTGCGCCCACCCGCAGATGCTGAAGGGCAGGAGCGTGTTCGCTGTCAGCCAGGAGGAGTTTGTGTGTGGTGAGTGATGCATTCACTTGGTGTAACACCTTTACACACACATACTGTAATGCCTTAAAAACAGCCATTTATCCATGGCAGGTTTTCCATTTACGAACTGACCCAGATTGTTCAGTATTTTCCTCCCCAACTCCTGGACAAGCTAATGAGTCTCATGAAGGGACCGTTATGGAAATTTACTAAGTTTTCAGTTTTCCTGGTTACCTTCAGAGTAAACTACTCAGGAAATATTTCAGTTCAGTTTTTCCCCTTTCAGAGCCTCATCTGCCAACAAAATGCCAAAAATGTACCAAACATAATAAATTCTCCCTTTTGTTTTCTTCGCAGATGACTTCCCAAAGCCTCAAATCACTGTCCAGCCGGAGACCCAGTCAGCCCTCAAGGGCACCAACGTGACGTTTGTCTGCTCGGCGGCTAGTTCCAGCGACTCACCCATGACCTTCGCCTGGAAGAAAGACAACGAGGTCCTGAACGACGCAGAGATCCACAACCAGGCCCACCTACGGGTGCAGGGAGGTGCAGTAGGCGAGACGGAGGTGACGGAGTATACGACCACCCTGCAGCTACGTAATGTGGAGTTTTCCAGTGAGGGAAAGTACCAGTGCGTCATCTCCAACCACTTTGGATCATCCTATTCCACCAAGGCCAGACTCACTGTCAACAGTAAGTTTGAGATGGGAGAAACCAATTGTTTGGCTTGTGTCTACAGGGTCCGTAAAATGCCTGTCAAAAGTTATAAAAGATCCCAATTTAAAGGTCTTTTTTTATCATTTCCAGTGCTCCCTTCCTTCACCAAGATGCCAATGGACCTGAGTATCCGTGCTGGAGCAACAGCTAGGCTGGAATGCGCCGCCGTAGGTCACCCTTCTCCTCAGATCGCCTGGCAGAAAGACGGAGGCACGGACTTCCCTGCCGCCCGTGAACGCCGTATGCATGTCATGCCGGAGGACGATGTGTTTTTCATAGTGGACGTCAAGACTGAGGACATTGGCGTTTATAGCTGTACGGCTCAGAACACAGCTGGAGCTATTTCTGCAAATGCTACGCTAACTGTGTTAGGTGAGAAACATCACTGTTGTAGCAGAAAATCAGATAGACAAACACAAATGTATCACTCTGACGTTGTTGGTTTCTTTTGACACTAACCTATTCTGCTGCTGTGATCCTTCAAACAGAAACACCCTCCTTCTTGCGTCCCCTCATGGATCGCACTGTGGCCAAGGGCGAAACCGCTGTCCTGCAGTGCATAGCTGGCGGTAGCCCTCCCCCAAGGCTCAACTGGACCAAAGACGACAGCCCGCTGGTAGTGACCGAGCGCCACTTCTTTGCAGCTGCCAACCAGCTCCTCATCATCGTTGACGCTGCCGAGGCTGACGTGGGGAAGTACACTTGCGAGATGTCCAATGCGCTGGGCACAGAGAGGGGTAACGTGCGGCTGGCGGTCATACCAAATCCCAACTGTGACTCTGGAGTGCAGGGCGGCGTGGGAGTCGGCATGGTGGCCGGGGCAGGACCGGACGATGATGGGTGGACCACAGTGGGCATTGTCATCATAGCAGTGGTGTGCTGCGTGGTGGGCACGTCACTAGTTTGGGTGGTCATCATCTACCACACCCGGCGACGCAATGAGGACTGCAGTGTCACCAACACAGGTTGGTACATGATGGCTTTTTCGTAGTTGCGAAAGTAGTTTCCTGAACCATACGAGAATTGCTGATCACCAAAGTACCTGGATTTCGACCTCTTTCCACATTAAATAGGCAATCTTTTAACTATAAAAATGGAAGTGTATAATATAACTTGATTTCCTTGTGTTCCAGACGAGACCAACCTACCCGCCGACATCCCCAGCTACCTCTCCTCCCAGGGCACACTCGCTGACCGACAGGACGGCTACATCCCATCAGAGAGCGGCAGCAGCCATCAGTATATGGCCTCGTCTATTAGTGGCTTCTACCTGCAGTCCAAAGACATGAACGGTAAAACAGCTGCCCTTTCTTCTTTGTCCCACAATTAAATCCTTCAACAGCATCCACCTTTTCTTACATGATACTGTTCCTTCACCCAAACAGGTCTTTGTCAGCTGGATACAGGAAGTGAGGCAGACATAGAGGCAGCCATTGACCCTCTGCTCTGCCACTATCAAGGTCCAATCAGCTCACTCCTTCGCAGAGATAACATGTACTCCACTGATCCATCAGACGTCTTTACAGGTACAAATTATCTGTGAAATGAAAATTGCTTTCTTGATCATTATCCTACAAGACTGTTGTTAAGTCCAATTCCCGAAGTACATTCATTACCTCTGGAGTGTGTCTTTCTCACTTCCTTTTTTTTTTTACCTTCAGGCTGTTCCATTGACCAAAAGCCGATATGCATCGACTCCTACAGCAGCAGTCTGACCAGCTCTAAAAGGAAAGACTATTTGCTGTCAGACCATTTTGACCTCTGCTCGTCCACTGTTCTGATGCAGCTCCCCAACGCCAGTCTCCATCATGGTCCACCCCACCAGCAGAGTGACCGCCGACCATCCATAGAGGAGGGAGAAGCCAACGACTACGGGAGACCTCACGAGTGTCTTTCCCCCTGCAACACCTTCATGGGTAGGTCTTGAGTCAATCAGTTTTCCGAACGTTTACCGATGTTGTCTGCACGTTGGTCTGACTTTTCCTTGCACCTTTTTTCGCTCAGGAACATTTGGGAAAGCTCCCTGGAGGCCTCATAAGGACCTGTACACAGGCTTCGGTCCGCCGTCGGTGACGCATAATGGCATAACGCTGCACGAGAATCCTTACGCCGCTCCGGACACCGATTCAGACCAGGAGGAGAACAGCTTCACCAAGGACTTGCTGTCAGAGCAGTGTAATAACATTTATGAACAGCCGTTTGACAGCAGCAGGACTGATCCCATCCCACAGCGCAGAACGAACACTTAGCTGAGCGACTGTTGTTTTTTAAGAAGAGGACGACCAAAATAAACATTACTACCTCACTGAATGGACACTTTTGCAATAAAGGACTCCTCAAATGTGCAACGAGTGAATGTAAAGGACAATTTGATGTTCCTAGAGAAAAGTAAAAAGGAGCATGTTAGCAGCGGTTCTTTAAGGACGCAGCTTCAGTTAAATAATATAGATGATATATACATTTTTTATATAAAGTTTATTATATTTTGTAAATTGTATATAAACAGATTCCATTATTTTTGCTTACCTTTTGTGTACGACTATTTTGCAGCCCTGCCTATTCAGTTATTCCAGCTTTGAATGAAGCAGTGTTTTGCACATATGTAAACAATAAAAAAAACACCTTGTGTGCTGCTACATTCACTGAAGCGCTACAAGTCTTCAATGATGTTACTGTCTTTATCATGCAGGACATGTATTAGAGATTTAGAGGACGTGGTGCTGGTGGTGGGTCTTATACGCTGGCCTTTTAGAGCACAACCACAGACCGCCAAGGACGCTGCAGCTCTGTCATCAGTCAGCCCCCCCACCAAGAGAGAGATGGAGAAAGAGAGGATGTTTAACTGTTTGGTATCACAACCTGATTCCATGTAGGGCTGGGCAATAATTACAAATAAAGAGTTTATCAACTTTCAGCATGTGGTTTTGATATGATCTTTTGTTATTTTACATATTTACTGCTGTCCAAATGAATGCTTCCGAGCAAGCTGAAGACTTTGATCTCAGGAAATTTTGCATACATTTGCCACATTGTGATTTAAATAATGGAAAGTATCCATAATGATATCCTGACGGTGGTGTCAACCATATGGCCCCGTCCTACTGTAGTTCACTGTCCTCAGTCACTGGTCCACGAAAAAACTGTTCTAGCGTACTGCTACTATTACTATTACTGCTGTGACTAATACTGGTACTACTAATTCTATAATTGCTACTATTGCTACTATTGCAATAACCATTACCTCTACTACTTACAGTTACTTTTTTTTGCACTATTATTGCAGTATTTGCTATTAATACAACTGCATAAACTAGTTTTACCACTATTTTCATGAATACTACTACCATTACTATTACTACTATTAGAATTGGTCTTTACCTACAGTTTCCTAATGATAACTACTGGTATGAATCATAACAGTACAACTAGGACTACCCCTGCTACCAGAAGTACTAATAGAAGTAAAAGTAGTAGTAGCCAGAGATTAGGAGTAGGAGTGCTAGTAATAATGGTAGGAGCAGTGGCAATCTTTTACCAAAAATATCATATAAGTTTTGAAGATTCCCCACTTGATTTGGTAAACTCAGACATCTGAAGCCATGGTGTAGAGTATTGTATTAAGACAAATCAGAAAAATAGTTACTTTCACTTTCCATGGCAACCAACAATACTGCTAGCAAAACTAGTACTGCTACTACTATATCAATATTACTACTGCTGTTGCTCCTGCAGCCAACTCTGATTTCCCCACCATTGCCAATATCACTGCTGCAACCACTTCCATTAATAATGACTCTATTAATAATTCCTAATCATAATTAAATACTACTTAAATACTAAATAATGATATGTCATTAATGTTAAACCACAAATTGCTGTTAGACCAGTATGGCACAATATAGCTTAGCCCAAACTCTCTGTTTGTTGGATGACTCATCCCTTCTGTCTCCCTCCCACCCTCATCCCCCCACCCAGCCCTCCTCGCCTGGCGGTTTGTTGTTTCAGGCCTCTCCTCTTCAACACGAGGGAAAAAGGTGTGCTTGTGCACCGGGCTAGCTGTTGAAACTTGCACTTGGAAAGCGTCTTGCAGCTCCCTGCCTGCCACAGTGGAGTTGTGTTTACGAAATGGCAGATTCACGATGGTGGTGCCAGCAGTGTGGAGGGGGATTTAGTTAGATCCCCCTATTGAAGGGCAGTTGTTTCAGTCTTGCGTTTAATCTGGCAGCGTGAAAAGAACTGGAGTGAAAAGCAGTAAAATGGACTTCTTTTTGTTGTAATCGTATGCATTCTAAAGGTCTGTGTTTGGATTCCCACTCTCACTCGGTTTGTATATGGAAATGCTGATGAGGAGATTTGCTTTCATAGGATGTGTTATTTCGCTCCCATCCTTCTGGCTGACTAATGTTTAAGTACACCTGGCTGTTGGCTACGCTGCGCTGGTTTCTATGCCTTTACCCCACTGTAAAGGAATGAGGGGGTTTGTTGGAAGTGTTGCCAGTTCTTTGAGGAGGCTGCGATTAAGACAAGATGGTGGAGCCACACACATCCAAACACCTGGGAAACAGCTGCTGCGGCTCCTGCTGCTGCTGCCGAGGCAGCATTCAAGGACCAGTCCACTTCTGGCTAATAACCTTATCTCAGTGCAAAGTCGTGTCAAGTTAGAGTAGAAACCATGTCTACAACAAACCTGATCCTTCTGGATGGATAAGTGAAGCCTGGGAGTGATTAATGATAAACTCAGTGGACTCTGATTGCGCTCCTTGTTGAGCACAATGTGGTGATGTTTAAAGGACTGACACGTTGTATTGTTTGGAAGTACATTCTCAAACCTTTGTATGAGCAAAATGATGTATGATGAGCTGGTGATGCATGGAAGACGTGTATAAACAGACGTCAGATCAGACCAGAAAGGGCAACTTTTAGTAGTTGTGGTCGCAGTTTTTGGTTCCACTGGAGCAGTCGGGGGTTTTTAAGGAAAGCGTCAACCCGAAATACTTAAAACACCTTTTGGCCATATACTTTGCAACCAATGGCACATTTTGTTTGGTGTATTTTTCTTCTTCCTGCTGATGGTTGGCTAAACATGGAGGATTTGACGTTACATTAAAAGTGCGAAATTAAATAGCATCCATGAAGTCCAGTGTGAGTTACAAATCAATGTGTGTACAATGTATATAGCAACAGTTTAAAACACTCTGGGACTGGATTGTACAACGCTGGAAAGCTATCATAGTGAGAATTATTTTATCTTTCGTCACAATTTACCAGGAATTTGTGCTTGCATGTATTTGTTTGGTCACCGCAGCAACTTGCCGGGTAACATCATGTTGTTGTGGTCTGGCAAAAGTTGAGCCAGGTGGATGAACTTGGCTCAGAAGTCAGCAATACTTGATTTCTTGGACACTGGAGCTGTGCAACAAGTTCCAAACAAAACATGGATATAACATCATGATTTAAAGTTACCATGTTAGCAAACAGTGGCCTCTTTACACATCCAGCTGTTCTGGAGCAACATTTTCATTCATTTGAAGTCAGTCCCATATTCACTCTCAACCTTTAGCTCTATTTTGGTCTCCACCAGCTAGTTGCTAACTGTGTCTGTCCACTGTTGCTGTGCTGAGCAGGAAGTGTACAGTCGTTTTTTTTCGACCGTTTCTCCAAAACAGCTGCCTGCTGTGACGTGATGAGGGTAAACGTAAATTCAAAACAATGAGCTAAAAGACACTAAACCGCTCCAGAGAGCTGAGATGAACTACTGAGTCTGGTGATAATTCTCTTTTGGTTGAGGACTATGAGCATCCTTTCTTAAATTACACAGTCATTTGATTAATTTTTAATACAAAATAATTATATAGCAGCTTTTAGCATTTTAAGAACTATGTGAGTTTGGAATGTGAGTGTGTCAGAATGAAAGACCAAATGCTTCTTTTAGTGGAAAAATGATTTGTTAGTAGAGGAATAAAGACCCGAATGTTATGCTTCTGCAAGACAGGTTGATTTTTTAGTCAAAAAGCTGCACCTCTTGCTGTTTTATCAACTAAAAAATGACTTCCTAAAGCAATATACATGCAGAATACAACAGGTTCACATGTGTTTTATACAGGAGTTATCAGTTGACATCATGGAAATCTCTGGCTGAAGCTGAGTTGAAAGCTCAGACTGCTGATTGTTAACCATGTAATAGGATCTGAAGGAGATTTTTCCTTGAACTGCCTTGCTCAAGGTTACTTGATAGCAACTGTGGGGAGAAAGTTTGCAGAGTTTTAGCAGCTGGTATGGTGGATTTAAACCTTCTTTTAAGCAATACGTGATCCCCTCCTTGTAGGCAAGGTTTTACACTTTGCTAAACTATGCATGTTACAATTAAGCGGGTGGATGTAATTCCCCTCAGAATGGTTTATTTACTCCTTAAGGAAAGTGCTGCAACCAAAAAACAATTTGTGGCCTAACAAGCGACTGAGGCGTAGAAGGTTTCCACTTTTAAAAGACGCTGCAGATCCAGGAGTCTCCTGCAGAGTCTGCAGCCAGCGACAACCTTCACATTTCTTGCCGGGGGGAAAAAGAAAACACCGGCCAGATTGTGGAATAATTTCCCCTCTTTGATTCTGCGTCCAGAGAAATGAGACAGGAAGTTGACTATTCCTCCAGACCACCAATGACTGGCAGACAACTGATGGAGTTTGCTACCCCCTGGTCTCAGAGCAGCGTCTGATCTCCACTTTCTGACCCCGGAGTGTTCACTCTAGCAGTCAGACACTGATCCAGGGTCAGCTCCTCAGGCTATCTCTGCTCTCCACACCCCAGAGACTGAGGCAAGAAAATGAATTTAGCATGCCACGGCCTTATCTCATTGCCAGACACTCTGAATTTTGTAGCTAATTTGCTTTCATTATTGCCAGATGTGGTGACATGCAGACAGATGTTTATTATATTAAATAGCTAAAGGCGGCTCGCAGAAATGATTATTCCTCTGTTATGAAGCTCAGGAAATCTGCTGGAGGATTGCTGTCTGACTTTTACGACCACTGAACTCATTTTTAACATTAGATATGCTTTGTCAGTACTAACATACGGATTTAAAAAATGAGGAGACCCCAGCCTTCGGTATGTGAGGTCACACTCACTTTAGAGTGCGACTTCCCAACTGTTGACAGACGAATCCAGAAAGATTTGTGTTGTGTTGCTTTCACTGAGGGGTTTTCGCTCTTCTTAGCCGATGGTTTGGGTTTGCCTCTTATGTGACAAAACATTTCGATCATTCGCAGATTATCTTCAAGCTTGGTGAGAATCTTTTGACCATATCGAATCACAGAAACGGCATTTGCTTGGTGCAAACACCAGCTGAAGCCAACCTCAGCTCGGAAACACTGAGCTGCACAAATCCCACGGTCATATAATATGTTCACACGAGTTGCCATCAGTGTGAATCCCAGCACGGACTCCATAAAACCCCATCAGACCCCATCAGACCATCTCTTTTCAATCTCCAATCCAGCCAGGGCTCTTTGTATGATTAAAAGCATATACAAGGGCTTTGCATCTTGCAGATGTTGCCATAAATCACCGGTTGGCCCTGCCTCTGCAACTGGCTGCCTGACAAATGTTCCACAATAACTGCGGCCCCCACCCCACCCTTCCAGTAAAAGAGAAAAAAAGAAAAGGGGCAATAGAGAAAGAAAAAAAAAAGCCTGGAATTTCTACCCGGCTGCTTGTAACTCTTTCAGGACTATTGTAAAGTCTCAGCCATGTCAGCACAGGTGGAAACCTGAGGGGTCGTAAAAGCAAAAAGAAAAAAAGCCCGCCCACTCCAGGCTTTCTCTTTCCCAACAATGTCTTAAACTCCCCGCTGTCCCAGTCAGCCCTCCACTGTGACTAATTCCACACAAATCTAAAGAGCTAA